CTGGCCACTAGCTTGCAATCCTTCTGCCTCAGCCTCTCAGAATGCTGGGACTTCAGGCCTGTGCCACTATGCCTGGCAGAATATATTCTTAATCATCACAATCACCTCTTCCTCGCAGTATCTCAGGGATTACAGGAAGTGGGAAGGGGGAGGCAGAGGAAAGGAGTGCAGAGACCACTGAATCCACCGACTTTTTTAGTGGGTGCGGAAAAAGCTGGGGACAGAGTGGCCCAAGCAAGGTCAGTGAGGTCCTGAGAGGGAACAGCCAGGCCTAAATCAGGCCCAGATTTTGCCAGTGCTGGCAAGCAGTTCTTCCCCACTGCATCTGAGGGTGAGGTGTGCCTGCAGCTGCTGAGAGTAAATCCTCTGGGCGGCTGCCGGAGCTGCAGCCCGGACTCTGGGTGAGTTCCCACGTGGTCAGGACCTGCTGATCTCTTCTACGCTTTAGAGCTATCTGTCTCTCTAACCTCCTCATCTGTGACAGTGGACAAGGCACTGCATGTCCATAATAACCTTTTTTGTTTGTTTGTTTTGTCTTTTTGAGTCAGGGTCTCACTATGTAGTTCAGGCTGGCTTTGAGCTCACTTTGTATCCCAGGCTGGTCTCGAACTCACACCCATCCTCCTGCCTCAGCCTCCCAAGTGCTGGGATTACAGGCATGAGCCACCACGCCTGTTTTTTTGTTTGTTTGTTTGAGACAGGGTCTCACTATGCAGTTCAGAATAGCCTTGAATTCATTATGGAGTCCAGGTTGACCTCAGTCTTATGGTGACCCTCCTGTCTCAGCCTGCCAAGTGCTGGAATTACAGGCATGTGGCACCACATCTGGCTCGTTTTAGTATTTGTGCTCATACATAGCCGTGTTTGTGACCTCAGCTATCCACTGGACAGACTTGGTTGGGAGCCCAGGATGGAGGGAGAGGATTTATGTGGTTAGTGCAGGACACACTGGGCTGGACCGTGGGCTGGACTCAGGATATGGAGTAGACAGAGTTTCTGAAAAATAAATGTGTCAACAGAGGCGAGACCCGCTTTTCTTTGTCAGGAAGAGCCATGGGCAAGCTGAGATTTCCAGAGCAGGGAACAGAGAGGACAAAGGGGCTGTCTTCCTCCACCATGTGGTGGAGGAAGCCAGTAAATGGGAGGATGGATTTGGGGGGACGTTTCAGGGAGCAAATAGACGTTCTTTAGGAGGAAGTGCAGAAGGGAGACAGGGAGAAGGAATCATACTTGGCAAGTAACAGGCACTTCCAGAGAGCAAGCGAACGGGTGCCCAGGACTGAGGGCGAGGCAGCCCAGGCGCTGCTGTGCTCCTCCCAGTGTCCCTCAATGGCCTTGGACAGCTGGAGTTTATCCCAGACACCTAGTGTGTGGATGCTGTGTGGATCTGGACAGGACTCTCCTGATGAGGCCCGAGAGACGAATTCCCTGGAAACGCACAGGTGCCCGCCAGCTGGTCTGACCTGCAGGGACATCTCCTGATATAGTGTTGCTGGCTCCCGGAGGTTGCCAGGCTGTGTGTGTATCACGCATGTTTGATGGTGGCCCCCGTCTCAGCAGGCTCCCCAGTCGCACAGGAATGCAGGCTCTGCAGCTCCAGGGTTTAATGTCCTTGTCCTGGGTGCCGCCTAGCCCTCCTCACCCTCCTCACCTGCCCTCAAGGTCCTGCACCTGGGACAACCTGTCACACAGACGAGGGCGGGCGTCCTGGCTTGTTTGTTCCTAATCGAGAACCCCGTGTTTCCGGCAGTCACACAACGCAGTCAGGGTCAGAGCTGTGCCATTCCAGGGATCTCTTTCACTTGATTCTGTTTGGGGATATTTCTGGGCACCTACTGTGTACCTGTGAGAATTATGCACCTGCTTGAACAATTGCTTGTGTCCCTGTCTGCTGTTCACCCATGTGGACACCTTAGGTTTACATTATAAATTGCGTCCTCATCTGCCACAGTCTGCATCTCTGCTACTTCCTCAGTGAAGAGCCTAGAAGTCCCCTTCTCCTGCTGGTAGGGTCCCTTCCTCCGAGTAAGCCCCCAGATATGAGGAGGATCATATGGACACAGCTGACCGTAGGACACCTATTTTAATGATGATTCAAGGAACCTTCAAAGGGTCGGCATATGTTTCTAAATTTTTCTTCAATTATTTACTTATTTTTGCTTTTTGGAGCTAGGGTCTCATATTGTAGTGCAGACTGGCCTTGAACACATTGTACAGCCCAGGCTGGCCTCGAACTGAAGGCTGTTCTCCTGCCTCAGCCTCCTAAGTGCTGGGATTGCAGGCGTGAGCCTGCACACCTGGCTTCTTTGCTTATTTCATCAAAGGAATGGGTTTACTTTCCCCACTCCTGGAGACCTGCTCCGGGCACCTGGGTACCTGGGCACCTGAAGACAGCCGGTCCTGTTGTGCTACAGTCAGGTGAATGCAGGGAGCCCTTGGCTGCCGTTTTCCCAGGCCTATCTTTATGGATGGTTATTAAAGGCACACCGTGGCACAGCGTGCTGAGTACAAAGCCATTCCCAGGGTAAGGTACGTGGGAAGAGGTGAGATACTGTGCTCCCACCCAATCCTCCTGCAATCGCTGCCTGCCGTATCTACGTAGAGTTAATGAGTAAGATTTAAGCAGGCGGCTCCCACCACTGGGCAGCAGATGGGCAGGTCCCAGGTCCACGGGAAGAGTGGAAAAGAAAAGGCAGGAGACACCTGGGCCAGGTGAGCCTGGCGGGCAGTTCCAGACAGTGCGCAAGCCAAGCGACAGACTGTGTCCTCCTCCTCTTGCCCTCCCACCACCTGCCCGCTCCTCTGGGCGGGTTCTTTGTAGCCAGGAGATGAACAGGCATCGTGTTTGGACCTGAGGGGTCACACACAAACCTGTTCACCAAACATCCACGCACCTGCCGTTTACCATGCTGAGTTCTACAGAGAAAGGACCTCTAAAGTAGAAGTCTGTCCTTTGATGTTCAAGTAGAGGCTGCCTCTGTGAGCTCTGGCTGACCAGGTGGCTATTTCTATTAGGAATGCTGAGTATATAAGTGGAAAAATAAGAGCAAAGTGGCTAAAAACAAATTTTGGAACCAGACTCTCTGGGTTTGTGTTGCAGCGTGTTTACTTTTTAATTCTGCTACATACGACTCTCTCTCTCTCTCTCTCTCTCTCTCTCTCTCACTCTTTTTCTCTCTATTTCTATTTCTCTCTTGTTCTCTCTGCTGTAGTCCAGGCTGGTCTTAAATGCATAGACACCCTCTTGCCTCAGCCTCCCAAGAGCTGAGATTACAGGTGTGTGCCACCACATCCAGCTGACATAGCAATTCTGGACTCAGTGTACTTGCCTGCTTAACGGGAAGGTAGTCACTGTACTTAGTTGTAAGATTTTTCCAAGAACTAACACATGTTCTGTATTTAAACCAGTGCCTGCTGAATTGCAGACACAATATGAATTTTAGCTTTATTTTTCCTCTATGAGCATCTCTGATATATAAGATAGTTACTCTCATGCATCTAAAAAAAAATCCACAAGATGTTCATATGCTCAGAGAAATAGATGGCTGCCCACTGTGGTGAGTTGGTCTGTGAAGATGTTTCATGAATCAAAAGCTTCAGTCCTGTGGCTTGCTGGGGTGTGGGGGCACATGCTTGTAATCTCAGGAGGCTGATGCAGGAGTATCGCCGTGAATTCGAGGCCAGCCTGAACCACACAGCAAGACACTGTCCTAAAAAAAACAAACCAAAACCAAAACAAACCAACAAAAAACAACTAAATCAAAGCAAAACAAAAAGTGACAAAAGCTTCAGCGCCCTTTATGACTTGCAGGCTCTGGGGCCAACAGAAACCTTGACACAACTGGAGACAGACGGGCTGGGCCCGGCACTGCGGGGCATAGAGGGGAGCTTGATCTGGCCCTGGATTTTCACTGTGGGGAGCCTCAGGGTCACAGAAAGAGCTGAGTAGGGAAAGGGCATGGGCCTGGCCCACAGGGTTTTGGTGACCCTGAGGATCTGAAGGCACTGCAGGGCCTCGGGGACATTCACACCAAAAAGGGGTCCATGAGTGGGTCCTCCCAGATGGGTCTCACTCCTGTGTCTAAGCCTGGGGACGCAAAAGCATCCGGGACCCTTCCCCTCCCCTTCTGTGCAGGCGCCCCTGTGACTTACGGCTTACACTGGGATGTTTTGAGGATGACAGGAAGTGCTGTTACTAATCACACATGGGCCTGTGACAGCGTATGTCCAGGCGTAGGGTCTGGGCATTCTGCCGTCAAAGTGCTCCTGAAGAACAGGGAGAAGAAATTTGTTGCTATTGTTTCCAGATGGGCTTCACTGTGTAATTTAGGCTGACCCCGACTCACTGTGGTGCTCACTGGCACTCCAGGCGATCTTCCTGCCTCAGCCTCCTGGGGGCTGGCATCCCAGGGATGCACCACCACGCTGGCTCTCGTGTGATTATAGGAAAGGCAGTGCTGTCACTGGAAACCTGGACCACTGTTCTCTGGCTAGTGTTTGTCCTGTTAGCCTTAAATTGGATGCATCTTTAATGGTTAAAAAGAAAAAAGCACACTTCTTTTCTGAGCAGGTCAAGGTCAAGGTTTATGCTTTGTTAATTTCACACAAAAAGAAACAGAAAGCAAAGAAAAATGGCTCCCCGCCTGCCTGTTTCTCTGGGGGCCTGTGTAATGATTAATAGCAGCTCATGGGCTATTGTTCGCAGTGGCCTGGACTGGTTAGAGCAGGACGATACTGATTCATGCATCGGGCATTTAAGAATCACAAGTGTTTACCCTGAGACAATAAATGAAGGGGAGATAAAGCTAATACCAAAATATGCCAAGATCTTTGAATAAAAAGCGTGGCTAGCTTGAAGTCCGGCTGTGATGGTTGAGCCATCTTGGAGCAGGACTGTGGGTGCTGCGGAATTTTCCCTGCATCGGGTGCTAGGCAACTTTTCACCCTGGTTTCCTGTGTTCCTGGTCCCCTCTTCTTCCACGGGTGACTCCACGCCAGGCTTTTGGCAAGGTGTATCTTTATTGTTTTATTTACAAAGACTTTTTTTTGGGGCAATGCTGGAGATTGAACCCAGGAGACATTGAGCTATATTCCCCCAGATTTTTTTATTTTGGGACAGACTCTCTGTGAGTTACTCATGCTGGTCTTGAACACGGGATCCTCCTGCCTCAGCCTCCACGTAGGTGGTATTACAGACTCACAGCTCAAGGCCTGGCTCATTCTGTCTTTATGGGGTGCTGTCCCCATGGTTCCACTTGTGGTCCTCTTCTGTCTGCTCTGTACCCTAGGCGGGGTTCTGGCGAGATGCACCTGGAAAGATGAAGACCTAATTGAAATTGGGGCTAGTGGGACCAGGGAGGCAAAGGGTTCAAGAGACTGAGATAGGACAAGCTGTGGTGACAGTGCTGGGCCAGGACAGAGCCGAGAGCCAAAATGGCTCCGGACTTGGAACAGGCAGAGCTGGGTTCCCAGGTCCACTTCCTCCAGACTCCTGGGCTTTGCTCCCGCCTCTGCCAGGAAGCCCAAAGTCTGGTGATGGAAGACAGACATTGGCCGGTCCATGAAAGCCCTTTTCCAAAAATCCTTTGCCTTGAGATACTCTGAGATTTGGAAGTGCATGCAGGCTCTTGTGGGGAAGGGCACTGTAGAAATGAGGTCCCTTCCCCAGGCCACTGAATCAGTGGCTTCCTGGTGACCTTGTGTCCACTGGTCTAACGATGCTTGCTAAGCTGCGGTGGTTTATGTCAGGATCACCCTAGTAAAGTTAGGGCCAACCCTGTCATGCATCCTAAACATTTTGGGTCCGATTCTTCAAGGACATTGCACCGGGCCACTTTCGGGGCTTCTGGCCACTAACTTTAGAACCCAGGAGAGCTTTCTGCCTGTGGCAGGTATGACTCCAGTGGTGGTTTGTTTAAATTTCCTTCATCCTTCTCCTGTCATTCCTTGGAACTGTCCTTAGGGTAGAGCTCCGTTCATCCTGTCTATTCTGAAAACCAGGAAACAGAACTCTTTAGGATCCTGCGTCTTAGGAGACAAGCTGATGTTTAAATAAATGGATTTGATAAAATATGGAAAGGGGAGATGGAACCTGGGAGAGTGCAGGCTTAAATCGAGAGCTCGGGGAGGCCTCTGAGAGGAGGCTTCATGAGCTGTCTGGGAAGCTTTCTAGGATGCGAGACGGCAGGGGCAAAGGCCCTGGGGCAGGATGGTGGCTGCAGGTCTTTAGCTGAGCAGTCCTTGATGCTTCGATGTCCTGATTTGGTTCACAGTGCTGACCTTTCGGATCACGTTGAATTCAGGGAAGGATCAGGAGTTTCACGGTACCAGATGTATTGAATAAGGCTGAGGACACAGCGTCATGTTTTGCCAAGCCTGCCTGTCTGCTGGATGACACTCAGCAGCAGTATCAGCGTATTTTTGATCACACCTCATGAAAGCAGTCATGAAGGAGGCCTTCCAGAATTGCTTCAGAAAGTGGTAAGAACGAGGAGGTAAGTGTTTAGAGGGAGGGGGAGGAACATGAGGGAGTTCATGGAAATGTGTCTCCTACTGTAACAGAAAGAAAAATCTAAACACCCACCAGATTTTTCCATCACCTTGTACATATGTTTAAAATTTTCAAGTGGTCCAAAAGGGTAGATCCTGAAAAGTGACGAGTGCATCTGTAACCACTGTCCCCAAGTCCTGCCCCGGGACAGTGACCTTTCCTTGTCCTTTATGTACCTACCTGGGATTGCTAATGAGCAGGCAATGGCTGGTGGCAGATAGTAACAGATACATCTGGGGTGAACCGAACCACATTGCAGACCAGCTCCCAGGCTGCTCCTGTGTACCCCGGGGGCTGGCAGAGTGGGCAATGCTGGGCACTGTCACTCCGCTGTCCACATTGCTCAGGGCTGTTGGCTCAGGGCAAGTTCACCAAGGCCACACTTGAGTGGACCTGGGGCTTTTGGTGGCGCCCTGCTGGCTTCAGTTTCTGTCTGTCTAGGGAGCTGTGTTGCTGAGGTCTCCCTGGTTGAAGTCCGCCAGTGGGGAAAAGGAGAGAAATCTCAGAGGGGAGGTGGATGGGAGAGAAGGGGCTGAGAATGCCAGCCCCTATGTGGGGCGGAGCGGGGAGGTCCCCGAGATTTCCAGGGGTTTCCATCATCCCCCTTCTCTGCTCCTTCATCCTGGCAGCCCCCGAGCTCACCTGCAAGGTCATCTCCCTGGCTACCTTTCCCGTGGGAATCCAGTGCCACCAGCGCAACCCCTGAACTCTGCTGGACCTCAGCCAGCAGCCGCAGAGCCCCCGCTCTGCCCATTATAGCGACACGATGTCGTTTTTTATTGAGGAGAGATTAGATTTAAAAAAAAAAAAAACTTTTCAGACGTGAGATTCACATGATCTCCAGCCCCCTTCCCGTTGCTTGAAGACGGCAGAGCTGCCAATTTCAATTTGCTCCAGCTTTTATCAGTAGAAGAAGCTTAGGAGAAAAAAGAGGAGGAGAAAAGGTGGATGGAAGTATTCCCCTGGGCCATGGCAGTCAGCGCCAGGGTGGTTGGGACACTCATGTCCCCCCTCCCTCTGTGTCCCTGACATGATAAGATATCAGGATGCTGCCCACAGCACAGGATGCCCCCTGGACCCAGGGACCTTGTGTCAGGGCCAGAGAGGCAGCTCACAGCCGTGGTCCGTTCCTGGTAACCCTGAGTGTTTCAGCAATGCAGGGGCATGGGCAAAATAAACATGCAGGTCTCCTTCCTTTTGCTTTATTTTATCAATTCTCCCCCCGGAGATAGAGAGGCCGCTGCGGTCACTTCACCTGGTCCATCCAGTCCACACATTGATTCAGCACCTGCTACGTGCAGGGCTCTGCATCGTAGAAAGGCAAAGTCCATGCCCTTCACCGTCGACTTTTTATTTTATTTTATTATTTTGGTGCCAGGGATTGAACTCATGACCTCGAGTTTGCCAAGCAGGCACTTATGCCGCTGAGCTAAACCCGGCCCTAGTTTTTATTTTTGCCCAAACTAATGCTCGCATGAATCATGGGGGTTGGCGCTGCACCGAGTACATACAGAGGTTTTGAAGGAGAATTGAGGAATGCCTGTTTGTGTGCGCACTGAGCTTTCTCAGGTGCTTGCATGGGGAGGCACTGAGGAGCCAGCCTCTGGCACCGAGACAGGAGCAGCATGGTGAGGAAACTTCTGACCTGGGGCAGCCAAGAAGCAGCGAGAGGGCAGGCACCGGGGTCAGGAAGGCCTCTTCCGGTCACGCTCCTCCAGCAACGGCCCTGCTCCTGACCCACGGTCAGCTCCAAACTCATCCTGTAAGACCACGCATGTGCTCGCCGCTGCAGGACCCCCCAGTGTGACCGTCTGGGAAGAGGAAGACAGGCAGGATTCAGGGCCTGGTGATTTTGTCTTCCAGCCTCCAGGGCCATGGGTGTTGTTACTGTTGTTATTGTTGCTGTTGGTACCATACCACATACACCCCTGGTGTGTGGTACTTGGTCGCTTGCAGTCCTGGGGAGCATTACACACCCCACTCCCAGTCCTATGCTCAAAGAAAAATCAGTACTATTTTTCCCTTTAACCTCAATGAAATATTTGAGAAAATGTGGTTTGAACTTACTTTTTGAAGCAATGATTATAATATCTTCCCAAAATATTTCATGTGTTTACAACTGTGCATTTTTGCATGTTGGGTACTTGTGGGGCACATATGGAGCAGGAAGATAAATGAAGGAAGAAACAGACAAACATCTTCCCCACACATAAAGAAAATGTCCCAGCTCCCTCTCTGATTTTTTTTTAATGAAACCCCCAAAGTATACTTTGCTTGTTTATTGGTGCTGGAGACTAAACTCAGGACGTTTGCACTGAGCTACATCAGGCAAAACTCAGACTTGCAGTCCTTCTGCCCCTTCCTCCCATAGGGCTGGGATTATAGCACCCCCTCCAGGTGTATGTGTGTTTGGGGTGTGTGGGTAGAGGGGCAGGGTGGACCTAGGGCCCTGGGTACCAGGCATGTACTCTACCACCGAGCTACATCTGCTCTCTTAAATCTTATAAAAAAATAAATTTGCTGAGAATTAGCTGTCTCCTTCAACCTGAGAGTTGAAAGTTCATTTGTTTATCCTGGGGGAGCTCTCAGCTTCCCCTCTAGGATGGGGTGTGACAGATCCTTGGGGTGACACAAATGGGGTTGGTCCTGTGGGAGAAGTGTTTCCAAGTGCCTTGAACCCTGCTGTCTCTCGGATGCCCCTGCACAGGACAGATTTCTCATGGTGCCCTGGGACAAACCCTCGGGTGGCAGCTGGGAATCGAGCCTCCCGTTAGCACCTCGGCCATCCAGGAACCCGAGGGACCCGCCTGTCTCTGGTTGCTGACTAAGTGGCATTGGGAGTCAGGGCTGAGAACACAGGGCCTTCATGCCTGAGGGCTCTCACCATGTCAGCCTGTGCTGTGTGTTACCTTGTGCTGTGTGTCAGGACCTCTTTCACCAGGAACCCAGCTTACCTCACACCCCCCACATGCCTCATCTGCTCGCTGTCACCATGTGGGCCACGTGGCCAGTTACTGCAACCCAGGGCTCTGATTAAGCCTGGGCCTTCTTGCACAACAGGAAGACAGGTTCTTTTTTAAACTAGGCATGGTGGTGCACACCTGTAATCTCAGCATTTGGGGAGGCCAAGGCAGGAGGATCACACATTCAAGTCTTGCTTGGACAACTTGGCAAGACCCTGTGTTAAAGTAGAAAAAAGGGGCTGGGACTAAAGTTCAGTACAAAGGCCCTGGGTTCAAATCCAGTACCAACAAAGAGAATAAAAAACAAGAAAGGAAGCTATGAGATGTGCCACGTAAGGGCTGCAGTTGCAGGCCGCTCCTCCTGGCCCCAGTTCCCCAGAGCCTCCGTGGAGACGTCGTCTCCCCAGGGCCTGCGGGGTGGGGGTAGAGTGGTGGTGGTGACCGTGTGCGCCTACTGAAGGAGAAGCAACAGGTCTCAAGGAGTGCGCTCCTCAGGCGTGGAGAAGTGGAGGCTAGGAAGGGACATTGCAGCCTGACCAGGAAGGAGGTGGACAAGAAGCAGAGGCCTGAGGGCCTGCTTGCCAGGGAGGCGCTTCCGGGTTCGGCGAGGCTGGAACAGAACACCTCAGCTCTCCTGCTTCTCCGGGTCACAGTACTGTCCTTCTGCCCTGGTCTGGTGACAGGCGCGGACCATACCATACACCTGGTGATCGTTGCAGTCCCAGCACCACTTCGCCCTGGGTCCCGTCTGTGAGCCTGCGGTATCTTGCACGGAGACTCCTGTGGATGCGCTGGCAGCTTAACAGCCTCTGTGTGCTATTTGCTTCCTCTCCTGCATGTCTGGGCCCTGGGTTTTTCTCTTAACCCAGTCCCTTAAAAAATAAATCTGTTGGAGGTTAAAACAAAGCAAAGCCAAGCCAACACCAAGGAATGGAGGATGTAAACGTGAAAGGGATGGAGGGGCTCACCCTAGCCAATCCCAGGGGTGTCATTAACCTCCCCTCTGGGGGTCCAGCCCCAGGCCTCCAAGGTGCTAACTCAGTCCCCGCCTTCCCAGCCGACGCCTGGTGGCCAGGCCTTTCCAGCAGGAAGAAGAGGTTCCAGAAGCCCTACTTACAGACTTTGAAGGCGACCTTCTCCAGAGGACGCCTCAGTTGTATTTATGGAACTGAATTCCCTAGACTTAAAACAAGCAGACAAAAGCCTGTCTCACGTGGCGTGGCGAGTCACCGAGTCCTTGAGGTAGAGATGGAGGAACAGGGGCTATGCAAATGTGTTCTCTGTGACATGACACCCATTCATTGGCTTGATCTTGGATTCATTAATACATTCAACAGATGTTTCTGATTGGCTGCCGTAGGCCACGCCCCATGTGACCCGCTAGGGAAAGAGAGACTGCATCCCTGGTGATTGGATCCAAAGATCAGTCCATGTCGGTGGTGGGAGAGTCGTGGGGAGAAGAAAGCTGGACCTGGACCTTAGCTTGGCTAGAAGAGCAGTTTTCCCAGCAGAGCGCTTCGGGGCTTCCCAGCAGAGCCCCCGGGGGAGGAGCTCAGTCACCTGGCTGGCACAGACAGGTGGCCGGAGCAGCAGGCTGGAGAAGGGCAGCGTCTGCGAGGCCTCTCTTTGCTTTCTGACTGTACTGCGTCTTTCGGCTGCTCTTGGGTATTTGTGAGAAACAAGAGTAGTATCTCAGGTTTCCTCGAGACTGCACTGCTTTCGCTGCATGACTCGTCCTGTGTCCATTTGTTCCTTCGTTTGCAAAGCCCCTGCTACATGTCGCATGAAAGGGACATGGCCTAGACTCTGTGCCCATAGCTTGAGGGCCAGATGGCAACATGGAACAACATGCAAAATGTTGTCCCACAGAGCAGCCCAGCTGGCAAGCAAAGGGTGTCAGGGTTGCGGTGGTGACCCAGAGCACTATGCCAGTCAAAAGGGGGCTGGGGAAGGAGACTGGGGTGCAGGGATGGTGTCCGCCAGGTGGAGGAGCCAGGCACTGGCTGCAGACACAGGCCTGGCGCAGATGTGCTTTGTCATATGTTCCCCGGGCTTCCCAGTCCCAAAGCTGTTTGCTCCTGCAGCCAGCCATGCAGCAGCTAGGTAAGGGGACACGGGGTAGGGACAGGCCAACACCAGCAACTAGTGTGCCCCTAACAGGCGACAGGCCACACTCGAGAGCATGGGCACATAGAAATGTGGACTCAGCCTCTTGTCCTCAGAGAGGCTGCAGTTGGACACAGATGGCCTGGTGCCCAGCCAGTCCCAGAGCTGGCTTTTAGAAGAAGCTGGGTCAGTCCACTGGCAGTGACTTCCCTTCTGGATGGACTTGATGTCTCCCACCTGGGAGGGACAGCTCTTAATTTTGTTTTATTTATTTTGAGGCAGCGTCTCACTATGTAGTGCAGGCTGGCCTTGAATGTGCTTATATAAACCAGGCTGGCCTCGAACTCACAGAAGTCCTCCTGCCTCAGCCTTCTGAGTATTGGGATTACAGGCAGATGCCACCACCCCCTGCTTTTGTGTGTGTGTGTGTGTGTGTGACACAAATTTTACTATGTAGTTCAGGTTGGCCTTGAGCTCACTATGCAGCCCAAGCTGGTCTCAAACTCCTGGTGATTCTGCTGCTTCAGCCTTCTGAGTGCTGGAATTACAGGTGTGCACAACCAGGTCTAGGTAAGCTCTTAATTTTTACAACAGATTGCCAGCTCTATTGTATTCCAGGCTGGTATCTAAAGTATGAGACTCTGTGGACTTAAAATGTTAAAGTATACTTAACATATTAAGATATACTTTTAAAAATATATATTAAATATATTAAAACATACTTTATTTAAATATATTAAAATATACCTTAAATATATTAAAATTTTAATTTTATTTCTAGTTATGATCTTTTGTTTTGCTATTTGTATTTTGGGTGTTTCTAGCATTATGGCAAAATAAACTTCACATAAATGTCCCTTCAAATGGATGCATAATTTTCATCATTTACAAACCATGATTCTAAAAATATATTTACTCATATAACTATTAAAAATTATTATTTTTTTTTGTCTTTTTCATTTTTATCGGTACTAGGGATCGAACTCACGACTGCCTGCTTACAAAGCAGGCGCTCATGCCGCTGAGCTAAATCCCCAGCCCCTTAAAAATTATTTTTAAGAGTAAATGTGGGGAGGTAGACTTTCTAAAGAGAAGTACATTATTATTGGGATATATATTGTGAAATTATTTTCTACATTATTATTGGGATATATATATATTGTGAAATTATTTTTTAAAGGGTCACACTGGTGCACATTTTCATAGTACATGGAAGTTCACAGCGTTAACTATTTTCTTCTTCTCTTCCCTCCTCTTCCTCTTTCTCTTCTTTCCCTCTTCCTTCTCTTCCCTTTTGGCGGTAGATGATAGCTGGGGATGGAACCCAGTCATGCACTGAGCTATATCCCTAGCTTTTTAAAATTTTATTTTTATTTCTTGAGACAGGGTCTCATCATGTAGTTCAGGCTGGCCTTGAACTCACTTTGTATACCAGACTGGCCTCAAAGGGCATCAGTCCTCCTGCCTCAGCCTCCTGCGAGCTGGGATTACAGTGTGCACAATCACTCCTGGCACTCTACGTAGAGTCAGGGGTTTGCTAAGTTGTCCGGACGGGCCTTGAACTTGGAATCCTCCTTCCTCAGCCTTCTGAGTAGCTGGGACTGTAAGTGTGCGTCACTGTGCCTTGTGATTATTTCTTGCCCCAAACAACGTAAGACAACAAATCAAGCCCTTTCCTTCCATCTGATGGGTAAGCAGAAAGCTCCGGGCGTCTATTCAGCTCCCTTCCCCGCCTAACAGCGCCGTGCGAGTGTGTGCGCATGCGCACCAGCGTGCGTGCTGCAGGGCACCAAGCCCAAGGCCTCGGGCCCACGAGGTGAGGGTGCTGCCCTGAGCCCACACGCTCGGCCCTGAACCGCAGATCCCTATCTCAGCTTCACATCCTGGCTTGGGTGACTGCAGCCAGCGGCCTGCAGGGCCGAAGGGCGCCCTGGACTGTGGGCTGTGGGCAGGGTCCCCAGAGGGACTCACAAGGCAGGCCAAGTCCACACCTTCGGTCACTGTTGGGACTGGCCACAGCAGGGCTGCTCTGTCACCGTCTTTATGAATGGACACCGTCTCGGTTTCGCTGAGACCTGAATCCAGGGTAACAGCAGCCTCCAGGCAAATGTCCCTGCATCTCTGGAAGAAACATTTGCTCACAACAGTGAACTGACAGGACTGGGGTCTGAGCAACCCTAGACTCACCTGGCCCCCGGACTGGGGATTGAACCCAGGGCTTTGACACTAGGGCTTTTTTATTTTTATTTTGAGACAGGGTCCTGCTAAATGGCTAAGTTACCCAGACTGGCTTTGAGCTGCAGTCCTCCTGTCTGAGCTTCTCAGAGTTCATGGCCTCTCATGAATTTAATTTTGTTATATTTAGTGAATCTCTGCTGAGAGCTGACCCTGTGTCCGGCCTGGTAGAGAAAGAGGAAAGGCTTGTGCTGAGCAGCTGGTTAGGGTGTGGTGGGCTGGGGCAGGAGCGCACAGGCTGTGTGTGCGTGTGTGCGTGTGGATGGGAGGTTGGTAGGAGGCCACACAAGGACTCAAGTGTGGGTCCACCTACAGCAGCGAGTGTCCCCCTCCGAGGCTGGGAGTGTCCTGTGACCCCACGGTATCCCAGCGATTTCCCCTAGCCCTCGGCCCCTGCAGCAGCTTCTGCTCCGCAGTGACCGTGGCCTGGGCTGCTGTAGTGAGTCAGGAGTCTGCCTGCTCCCCCTTCTGCCCTGGCCCTCCTACCTGAGCTCCCTTGGGGCTGCTGTGGGGAGCCCCACCTCTGTGCTGGGAAGTCCAGTGCTGTGAGGTGCAAAGGACACCTGGGGCCGGAGACGGTGACTCACTGTGTGCCCTTGGGCAGAGCTGTCTCACCTCTCGGCTCTTCCTCTTTCGGAAGCTGGTAGCTGCGGAGGCCGGCGGTGGGGTTCAGTGCGGGGCCGCACCGCGCCTGTGCACGCACGAGTGCGCGTGTGCGTCAGCCCCGCTGTTTAATGGGGTGCCGGGACCGCAGGGGCGCCGAGCGGCCGCCCCCCCCCCCCGCCCCACACGTGTGGCTCTCATTACTGTGAGGAGGTGTCAAGGCGGCATAATTAGGCGCGGTTCCCACATCCCTGCGGCCTGGGCTCTGGCTCCGTGGCAGGGAGCCCAGGCAGGGGCCGGGGCTGCCGGCCGGGGCATCTAAGGGACTCCGCCAGTTTCCACCTCGCTGAGCAAAAAGATGAATGGGGCTCTGTCCCCCACATGGGGTCTGGAATCCTCAATTACGGCAATTACATCAACAGGTCTCTGCTGCAGAGGCTGGGGCTTAGGAGAAGAATCCTGAAGCTACGGTGGGGTTTTCCCTGTCTTTGAAAGGCACGGCGGATGAAAGGAGGCTCCATCTCCATCTAATTGGGCTCTGGGTGGGGAAGGAGGGTGGGTTTGTTTTCTCGCAGGGCCTGGTGCTTTCTCCCTGGGTCCCCAGCGCGCAGGGCGGCAGGCAGCCATCGAGATGGTCTTGGTGTGGTATCAGAAGAACGGATTGCTTGGGAAGGTCATTTCATCTCGCTGATCCTCAATGTCCACATCTGTAAAACGGGCACAACGCATGCCACGATGCCCTCCTTCCTAAGATCTCAAAGGCTCTGGTGCTACCTGGGCTCAAAACCACTGGATATTTCCTGTCTCACCTTCCTGGCTAGGCAGGCAGGACTCCAAAGGTAGCTCTTGTGCCCAAAGCGTGGCAGTCACCTGGAGTTAGAGGGGGTTGCAGGCCCACCCAGACCCACAACTTACCCACCTCAAGTGTCAGCAAGTGCATGCAGGAGAGGGAACCTGTGGCCTTGCTCTCGTCTGGAGAACAAGGTTAGTGATGTTTGTTCTTTTCTGCATGAGAAATGCTGTGATGAAAAAGAGGTTTATAGGGGGAAAGGTATTTTATCCAGTCTTTCCTTCATTCACTCAATGAACATTTGCTGAGCAGCTACCACAAGGTAGGTGTGGGCTTTGTGAATTATAGTCAGTTCTTAGACACATTTTCAAGTATTTTTCTTCCTATTTTTTTGTTTGTTTGGTTGGTTGATGTTTTTGAGATGGTTTCGCTATGTAGTTCAGGCTGGCCTTGAACTCGTGGCAGTCCTCCTGTCTCAGCTTCCCAAATGTGGGGATTACAGGCTGACCTTGAACTCACAGCAATCTTCCTGCCTCAGCCTCCTGAGTGCTGGAATATCAGGCAAATACTGGCACACCCTGCAGGAGTGTGGGGTGATTTTCAGGTTTTGTCATTTATGTGTGTGAGCCAGGTGTAAGACAAGCAGGCACCCAGGGCCACTGAGAGCACCACGTCAGCATGTTTAGCAGCTAGCCAAAGCATCACCTGTGAGAGGTCACTGTCCTGCTCCTCAAGGCCACTCTGTGTGTCCACAGCAGCAGTGACAGCCTGTGCCTTTCCAAGGCAGGACCTGAGAACACACCCTCCAGTGCACCCCAGGGAGGCAGCCTCCATGCAGGAGAGCAAGAGCTCAGGGCTAAGCCTCCTGAGAGGCCACATCGCCGGGGAGGCTCAGCCTGACCCCAGCCGGATGGACTCGAGTCAGTGTGGTGGCAGGAGGAACCAGCTTCCTGGCCTGGGCGCCCACCCTGGCACGAGCAAAGGCCTAGTGCTCCAAGGCAGGGCACCTGTGCCTGGCTGGACGGGTGAGGATGCTTGGTGCCCTCCATGGTGGCTCCTCTGTGTGTGGGGACAGTGGAATGTGGGCCACCAGGAGCCTTTCCCTGGGTTCCAAGCGTTGATTGCTTGTGTTGGACGGCACCCTTTGGGTGCTGAGTTAATGTTTGACTACACTTGCAAACACAGGGTATCTGTTTGTCTCCGGCGAGGATGCAGGGCACATGGGCTTTGGCACCGCTACCCTGGGGACTGCTGCTCATTCTCTTTGGGCATAGGAAAGAGGCAGTGCCTTACCATGGTCCTTCTGGGTTCTCTGTGGATGGAGGTGGTGGCTACTGTTGGACAAAAATGATCCTGGGGGATGGTGGCTCTGGGCTTGAGAAGTAGTGTCATGCCAGTGACGGAACCTGAAATCTAGGATTGGAACTGAATTCAAGTCTGTGTACTTCCTTTTCTATTTCTTTTCTTTTTTTTTTTTTTTTTTTTTTTTTGAGACAGGCTCTTCCTATGTAGTGCAGGCTGACCTTGAACTCTCTGTGTAACCCAAACCCAAACTGGCTCAAACTTGTGCGGATCCTCCTGCCTCAGCCTAGAGTGTGCTGGGATTACAGATGTGCACCACCGTGCTCAGTTTCTCAGCTCCATTCTGCTGGGCCTTTTGGATGGGGCCCTCATTAGTCCCAGCCACAGCCTCAAGTCCAAGGGCAGTGACTGATTACAGCCGGACTATTGCTCTGGCCACTGGGCACATACATGTTACCATCCTGGGGGGACTGGCATTAGTGTGCAGGGAAGAACTTCTTTCAGGGTTTCAGGAGTGGCATGGCCCTATTTTCCCTTGTAAGAGTTTTGTTTTGTTTTGTTTTACCACTGTGGAAGCAGCTCTGAAGATCTTTCCAGTGAACACAGAAGCACCTGCCTCACTGAGCACAGGGTGTCAGCAGGGCGACTACGGGGCCCTAAGAGCGTCTCCCACAGCACTAGGGCAAACTCTCCCCTTGCTCCCGGGGCCACCTTGAAATGCCCACCTCCTGTTCTGACTTGGCGCCCCTCTCTGGAGAGTGAGGGCCATTGTGATCTCAACCCAGGCAACACCCAGCCACTCTCAGGATCTGGGTGTCAAGGTGTGAAGATTGTGCCTGCACTCACTGCTCTAAGCACCGTGCAGGCCCTGCAAGTGTTGTGTTTCAGGGCATTTGGGGCTGACGCCCATCTCTTCCCCTGGAAGAGCCACTCACTTTCCAGGCCTGGGAAAGCACCACTGCCAGCGGCATCTGACCTTCTCTGCCCCGTGCCCTCTCCCTAGCAAGGCTGTAGCTTGCAGGTGGTGGGGAGACTCAAGAGTTCCCCAAAGTCACTTCACTGGGAGTCTGGCTCTCCAGATGTGCCACCATAAACACATCTGACACTTCAGCCCCCAATTCCATTGAGCTCAACGAGGGTGCAGGGTGTGTCCAGGGAGCTGTCTGGAAGCACTTGTAGCTCCTTCCTTTGAACCTTTGGGTGTACATTTCTCCAGTCCTGGATACTTCTCAAGTGTTTGCTATGCATCAGAGCTGGGCTCAGGGCCCTGCCTTAGCTCCTGTCTGGTGTAGAAAGGACAGGTATGTAATGCTGTGTAACAAGCAATCCCCAAGTGTCAGTAAACAATGAACTTCCATTTTTCCTTCGGCTCCCTTGGAAACTCGGCTTTCCAAGAAAGGGATCTGTTCCTGCCATCAGAGGGTGCCCTCCTCGGTGCCCACAGCAGCTGCACCCCGTTGGACCTGCCACTTGGGGGGAGACAGTATGGAGAGTTTACACCCCTGAGGAAGGCTTCCTACCGGAAGTCACACTGCCACTCCTGGCGGCAAGCAGGGCACAGCGGTGGACTCCTTCCCCGGGCCTGTGCACAAAGAACTGGGCCTGAGGTTGAAAGGGCCATGCGGGATTTGAAGTGCAGAAGCCCTAGAGAAGGTTTGCTGCTTCTCCTGCTTCACCTTCACACATACACTCACACTCACACACTCGCACGCACACACACACACACACACACACACACACACACACACACATACACAATGGCGGAGCGCTGCAGCCCAGTAGTCAGATGATGGACAGCGTGTTTTGGCAGTTCAGAGAGCCGGTCCAGATGGAGACATCCGGCCAGGAGGGTGGAGGGAGGCGGCACCTCTTGCTTCTGGGGCTTGCAGACGCTGGACTTGGGCGTTTTGTGCGTGGTATCTCGGTGGGTGGCTTCTCACACCTGCAGAACCAACTGCAAAGCCCATTCAGTCCACACTCTTGACTTAGCACGTGTGCTGTTCCCACCCCAGGGAAGTCTGGAGGCCTGGGGGTGGGAGGGGAAGTGGTTTGTAACTCGGTTTGACCAAGGAGCTTTCCTGGAATGGACCCTGGGGAGAAATCCGATGCAGCAGGGTCAATTAGGAGCTGGGTTTACTGTAGATCCAGCGGGGCCTCCCCCTCCCCTCTCGCCTCACCAGCCCTCTCCGGCTGCGTCCCCGCCCCCACTCTGGTCCCTTGCCCGCCTTGCCTGGGCCAGATCAGAGCTGATGTGGGGGGTGGGGCAGAGCACACAGGTTTTGGCTCCCGGGGTCTCACAGCATAAGGATGGAAGGGATAAGGTTGCAGGCTCCAGGGCCCCAGTGTTTGCATAGAAACTCAAGAAGAATCCTCCGGGATGGGCAGAGGGATGTGGGCTGACCCGTGGAGGGGTGTGGGTAACCGGAGTCAAAGAAAATAAGCAAACTGCACGGCATAGGCACCCAGAAAGCAGACCGCCGGGAGCTTGGGGTATGTGGCCATGCAGAGCAGTGGATGGTGGGGACTGGGCCAATCCAATCTGGTCAGTGGGCAGTGCCCTGGGCTGGGCCAGTTGCCCCTCAGTGGCCCAGCTGTTTGCACCTGGCCATGCTTGCAGCTGTCTCCAGCAAGCTGGCCCTGACCCAGGCAGAAGTTGGGCTTCACTGGTCTTCCTGCCCCTCCTAACACCTAGGGATGGGGACAGGCTCTGTGGACCTCAAGGGTGGTTTGGGTGAAGCCAAATTGCTGCAGAGCTGGAAGCCGCTCTGGACCCAGCACCAGCTGAGGTTTGGTGGCCACCGGCTCTTCCGGATCCTTGGGCTACAGACACAGGGGCCAAGATGCTTCCTCTGGGGCTCCAGGGGCAAGCGTGTCCTGCTCCTCTGCACAGTCCACGGTCTCAGAGCTGATGTGGACCCCAGCCGGCTGCTGGGCCTGTGGTTGTCAGCCTCCTGGGCGTCACCTGGGAGGCTGAGAAAAAGGTGGATTCCCAGGCTCTGAGCGTGGAAGTTCTAGGCTCTGATGTTGGCCTTGCCCCCACCCAGCTGTTGGCTCTGCAGGTCCCACGCTCAGAGGGGAGACTGAGTCAGTTCCCTGGGGCAGCAGAGCCCAGCAGTGCTTGTGCCTGGCAACCGCCTTGCCCCTGGAATTTACTGTGCTCATTAAGTCCGAGGCTCCAGACCCGCCCTTGCTGGGCTCTCCCGGCAGGTCCCTGCCAGGGCAGGTTTCTGCACTGGCCCACTTCTGTGCCATCCAGGGAAAGGAAGCCTTTCCCTGATAGGTGACACCATCCCCTGTTCCTTAGGCCCTTAGGATGCTTCCCTGAGCGCCGGGGGAGCTGCGAGCCTGGAATACAGCCAGGCACTTGACAGAGAGGCTGCAGGCACACACTTCCCACCCCTCCCTGTATGCACAAGCGTGCACACACACGCGTGTCCACATGCACACTGGGCCTGGCTGCAGAGTACGCTCTCCTGGAGGGACCAAGACCTGGGACGTCACTCGGGGGAAACACTTTCATTTTCATTTCTACATTTCAAGAAGATTCTCCCTAAAAGATTGCTGGTCTCCTTGTAACTGCCTGGGAAGCTGAGGTCACAGGCTGGAGCCTCTCATCCACACCTACCCTGCATGACGAGGTCAGGGACAGAGACTCTGGGTATCTGATGGTAACAGGTCCCAGTGCTTGGAATGAACTATAAACTGTTCAGACAATAACTTGTATGTGTGTGTGTATGTGTGCATAAGTGTGCATGTGTGTATGAAATGGGGTTCATGGGTCCATATTCATGGATTGAACCACAGATTGAAAGCATTCAGAAAAAAAATGCAGGGCCAGGGATGTAGCTCAGCACACAGTGCCTACCTGGCAAGCACAAGGTCCTGAGTTCGATTCCTGATACCACAAAAAAGAAAAGAAAAAATGCACCTACACTGAGCGGGTAGACTTTTTTCCTGTTGCTATGTCCTCAGCAAGGCCGCGCAGTGAGGATGCCTCTAAGACCCACATTGTTCTGGAGGTGGCTTAACGTGGGTGGAGGGTTTGCACAAGTTATATGCAAATGCTGTGTCATTTTATTGATTTATTTGTTATTTATATTTCAGATGGGCTTGAAATCTGTTACCCAGTCTGGTTTTGAATTCCTGGGCTCACGCCAGTCTCCTGCCATGGCTTCCTGAGTCGCTGGGGCCACAGGCGCCTGCTGCCATGCCTGGCCACTGTGCCACCTCACACCCTGGATCTGAGCATCCAAGAATTTGGGTGCCTGGAAGGTCCTGGAGCCCACCCCTCACAAATACCGAGGGGTGACTGTGTGGGTGGAGAGGAACAGGAAATACACATGGTGTCCAGGGTAGAGGATAAAAGGTTAACAAGACATCATAAAACAGACACAAGTGATCTTTGTACTATTTTTATTTTTGCGATTTTTTAACCGTTCAAAATTTATTTTTCTGAATAAAATCATCTATACAGGGTATGTGGTTTGTTCAAGGACACAGAGCAGAGGAGCAGGTGGCTGAGTGGTTTGCAGGAATATCCTGCTGGTCACTGCTTACCATCTCTGGATTTCCACGTTTTAAACTCAGTTTCAGTGCCAGCTGTCCTGGCTTCTTCGTGATGTGTCCACATTTCCTGTACTTGTCTTTCCTCTTAGGGTGGCAGGCAGAAGTGAATTCTTTCTTGGTTGTTTTTTATTTGCTTGTTTGAGACAGAGTCTTGCTAGCTGTTTTAGGCTGGTCTTGAACAGTGACCGTCCTCCTGCCTCAGCCTCCTAAGTACTGGGATTCAAGGTATGTGCCACCATGCTCGGCTCGAAGTGAATTGTTTTACCTTTCCTTTCTTCTTCTTTTGCTACCTGTAAGGTCTGTGTGAAGTACCTTGTCTGTCTATTCCAGGCCAAATCCCAAGGGCTGCAATATAATAGTTGCCCAAGAAATATTTCTCAGAAGAGTTGATGGGGAAGTGAAGGGAAGCCAGAGCTGGCCCAGACACACACAGGTGTCACGTGCGGGCTGGAGATGCTAGAAAGGGGACCGCGGTTGGCAGGGTGGTGTCACAGTCTTGGAGGTGGCCTTCTGAGAATGACTGACGTCCTTTGGGAGGCCCTCTCCTTGCTAGCACCCCCTCCCCCCGCCTAGAGGCTCTGTGGGACAAAGGACACTGTTGTGGCAGATGGTGAGGGGGTCCCAGGGACGTCGGGCTGTGTGGGGCACAGTGCCAGGTGGGATCTGCCACCTTCTGGAAACAGAGGAGTCCTAGACCATCCCTGGGTATCATGCCTGCATGCCCTGGGCTTCTGCCAGGCCACCCTGTTTCCCCATGCGGAATGGTAGCCATGCCAAAGGTGCCCTGCAACTTTCCTCCTGTCCCTGGGGTGCAGGGCCCCAGGCTGCTGCAGCCCAGGGCTACACAGGCCCCCAGGCCAAAGTGCACCCAGGAGCCTGGGCATTTTTATGTTAACGTGGAACACCAATGCACACACTTATTCAAATCCCCCAACGCAGGGACTCATGTGGTATGGAGTGTGCCCCTTCCACCCTGCCCTCCCTGTGCCCAGCTGCCCTACTGATGTTCTTAGTTTCTGAGGAGAATGTCCATGGGTAGTTTGTCTGCTTACTTATTTTGTTTCTTGAGATGAGGGTCCCACTATATCATTCAGGTTGTCCTTCAACTCACTAGGTAGCTCAGGTCGGCCTTTAACTTGCAGTGATCCTCTTGCCTCAGCCTCCTACGCACGAGGATTACAGGGGTGCACCCCCACGCCAGCACGACGGGTAGTTCAGGGATGCACAACTGAATGTATATCAGTGTAGATTTCTAGTCACTCTGTTTGCGTCTTGCCTTGTGCACTTAATGGCAGGTTGAGGTGCTCGCCTTTATTCCTAAGAGCTCATGGAAGTCTCTGTGTTTGGTTTCCTGGGGCTTGGGGCTGTCTTGTATATGCAGGTATCAATAGACAACCGAAAATGCGCACAGGTCTGTGATCAAAGGAGCCCGCTCTCAACCTCCCCTGCCACGCTCCCCTGCCAGCAGAAGGGGGACCCTGTGTTTCCACAGGGAGAGAAGGGCACTCGGGAATCACAGAGCGAGGTGCGGGGACCTCGCATCAGCGCAGTCCAGCGTGGTGACCACCAGCTGCCCATTCCTAATGTGGTCACGAAGGCAAAGTACTACGGGTCTGCCCAACTGGATCGTGCTCTGAGGTGGGTGCGAATCACAGTCTAAAGATTGAATTTGAAAGGATAGAAACCTCTTTTTAATCAGTAGTGTTTTTTTTTGCACTTATCACAGATTGAAGCGCTAATACTTTGCATGTATTGGTTAGGGGAATCTGTGAGAAAAGTTCCCCCACTGCTTTTTAATTTTTCAAAATGTGGCTCCTGGAAAGGTTAGGATCATATATGTGGGTGATCAAAACATATGGTGACGGTTTAAATTTTTAAAAATTATTACCATAAAAGGCAAATTGCCATGAATTCCCTTTAAAAGTCTCCCCCTATCTTGGAACACAGGTATCCCATTGTCCTTGCCGCTTTCTGAAGAAGTTCAGGAGTCCACTTCCTAAGGTCTTTATGCGTGTGACCACGGCTACCGAACATGGCCCCACGGAAAGGCAGCTCGTGAAAACGTTCCCGGGCATCCTCCTCCACCTGAGCCACCGGACCTGCACCATACTGCTTCTGGCTCTTCTCCAAAATCAAAATGACCAGGAAAGGTTAACATTTTGTTGATTTTGAGATGAAGTCTTGCTGTGAAGCCCAGGCTGGTTTTGAACTCATAGTGATCCTCCTGCCTCAGCCTCCCGAGTGCTGGGATGACAGGCATGTGCTACTTTTTTTTTTTTACAGGTGGGTAATGACGTTTCCATGAAGGTTGAGGCTTCGGGCATCAGGAAAAGCGAGTGGCGTCACTGGTTTCTGCGGCCTTCACTCCAACTCTAGAGTCTAGAGGCTGGGGGAGAGCGAGGCTCTGTCACCTTTTTGGCTTCCAGAGTTGGGGCTCATCTGCCTGGGGCCAGAAAAGCCAGAGTGGCCGCCCCGAGCGAGCTGGCATCGAGCAGCCCCTAAATTCTTCCTGCTAGGGTGGGGGAGGCTGCGCACGGGGATTTTCACAGATTACACTCCAAGTGCGACCTCCGCAGGGCGGCTGGGTTCCCACAGGGACTGATCCATGCTGAGGGGCCCTCGGGAGCCAGACTGGGCTGCCTCTTTCTCCCGGGCAGCAGTGCACACAGTTTTTAATAATTAAGTAACTTTAATTGTCCTGGGAAAGCCGAGCTCGCCTTGGGGCACGCAGCGCAAACTCATAATTAATGTTACCAAGAGAGATTAGCAGAGGAGGGCTGAGAAATGATTCACTTTTTAAAAAGCGCCTCACTGTTAAGCCTTATTATCCTGAGTTTAGAACCTCATTTATCTGCTTTGAGGAGCAAGGAGGAGGGGGAAGAGAAAAAGGCCTGAGACCCCAGAGACGACGGCATGGGAAACGAAACCTGCACACTTTTGTCATGTGCTTAAAAAGCATCAGACAGGAGGAAAATGTTGCCATTTATCAATCGTGTTCTGGTGACTTGGGGGAATTTAAGAAATTCAGAGAAACTGAATTAGGAACGGATGACAGTGCGTGCACTTTAAAAAAAAAAAAAGTGATATCCTTCTCTGCTTAGAAATGATCTCTTTTGGGGACTTGTAGAATGGCTTTTTCTCTCTGGTTCTTTATGAAAGCCAGGCCAAACTGTGTGATTTTCAGTGACTGTTTAGGAAGTGGTGTGTTTGGTAAGTACTGGGTGAAATCATGAGAGAGAGTCTCAAAGGAGAGGTTGTCCTGGCACAGAGAGCAACGGTCAATGTTAAGGGCAAGCCCAGTGGGGCCTGGGGAAGAAAATCAGGGGCAAAAAGTGCAGTAGCTCCGAGCGTGGTGGTGGTACACGCCGCAGTACCAGCACTCAGGAGGCTGAGGCAGGGGGATCTCTGAGTTCACAGAGATCTCTGTGAGCTACACAGTGAGACCTTGTCTCAAAAACCAAAAACTAAAAGTGCTGTAGCAATGATAGAGCTGGGGAGGGGACGGGGAGAGGCCTTGAACATGCGGGGCAGAGTTACAAGGCTCTTCTGTGTGATTGGTGGTGGGAAGGTGGGATATTATGGGGTCCCTTGTGTGCTTTGTTTCCCAAATATTTGTCTCCTACATTATGAGCATCTAGGCTAGACTCAGATTTGCAACCCTCCTGCCTCAGCTTCCCATTCTGCAGGGAAACTTTTTGAGGGTCCTTCTTTTCTTCTGGCTCCTCTGCACTCGGATCCTCCCCAGAGGCACTGAACTCCTGAGGTGCTCTTCCTGCCAAAGGGTGTCCTGTACAGTGGGCACAAAGGTGCCCAGTCCCTTCCCTGACTGCTGGTGGTCAGTCACTGCCCACGAGGGGATGGCTGAGCATGCCAGGTCTCCCTCCTCCCCTGCTTTTGGAGGTGACCAGAATGCAAGCTGCTCTAGCCAGCCCTCCCTGCGGCTGTCCCTTTGTGACCTCAGGGGGTCTAGCTTCTGGGCCAGAGTTGTCTGAAGTGAGCATGAGGCCTCAGGGGAGGCTGAGGCAGGCAACCGACTCAGGCTCAAGGTAGAGGGGAAGGTGTGGGCTGGCCAGGCTCCAGGCAGAACGCCTGACTCCTCCTGATGGAAGCTGTGGGGGCAGGTTGGAGACCGCACTCCCGTAATGAATAGCCAGGGCGGCTATAACACCCAGGCTGATGGGGGACACTCGGAAGTGAGCAGTGTGCCTCCATAGCTCAGCCCGGTGCAAGCCACACATCCTGCGCCTGCGCCTCGCTCTCTGCTCTTAAACCGGGTCACAGAGGCAGTTCAGGGAGAATGCAGACTGTGCAGCCAAACTGTAAAAACGGCCGATTAGCATTTCATTTTATTTAGCGATTTTTTCCCCCTTTGGATATACTAGGGATTAAACCTGGGGCCTTCACACCACCCCACTTCAGTCCTGTTTTCAGTTTTTATTTTAAGACAGGGTCTTGCTAAGCACTAACTTGCCCAGGCTGAGCTCAAACTCACCATCCTCCTGCCTCAGCCTCCCAGAGTACTGGTTTACAGGTGTAAGAATATTTGCCAACTGGACATTGGGTGATTTTCATTGTTTTGCCATTTGTGGGTTTCCTTAGGGGCCAAGTCTTATCATTATCTGTTAACGTAATTCTGGAGACAGACCAGGGACAGTGGGAGCCTATCTCAGGTGTGTGTGACTTCACCTCTTGACCTTGGGCAAGTGCTCCTGGCTTCCGGCCCTCAGTTTGATCGTTTGTCTAAGAGAGGCATCGGGCTTCCCCTGCGCTCTATAGAACTTTGCTTGTGGTCTGTGTGTGACCCCAAAGCCCAGGTGCCTCAGAGCTCCTCTCTGGGGTCAGCAGCGCTGGGCTGCTGGCGAGGCCCCGGCCGGGGACAGGTTCACCTTTCCCTGCACCGTCCCCGCCCGTGACCCAGCAGCCTCTGCAAGTCTGGCCTTGCTGGGCCTGCAGCATGGCTCCCCACCGCCGGTGCGGCCAGGCGAGACACCTTTCTTGGCAGCACTCTCCAGGGCTCCCGGAATGTCTGATTACTCACAGGCTTGCGACAGCACGGAGGTCTCCAGCGCGTAGGGAGGCAGCTGTGGCTTCCTTCCCGATGACCTCAGCCCGTGGGGTGAGTAATGGAGCCAGCACCAGCGCCGGCAGAACTGGGTGGTCGGGTGCGGCTGGGGTGCTGGGGAGGCCATGGGGGAGGGCGTGGGGTGCGCTCGAGTCTCTCCTGCCCTCGTGGACAGAATGACTCACTCTTCTAGGGGATCCGCACCCACGCCTCTGCTTGTCTTTAGGTTTTGAGGCAGGGTCTCGATGAGTCCCCCAGGGTGGTCTTGAACTTACTACCATGGTGCAAGCCTCCTCTTTCCTGTAAGCTGCGCTTGCAGACCTGGCCCAGTCTCTGTTCCCCTGGGGTCTGCAGTCAGGCAGCTGCTCCTGAATGGGAGCCTGAGGGCATCCCAGGCTGTCTCTGTGCCTGGAAGTCTAGCCGGTCCCTGTCACCAAAAGCCCAGATGGTGCTCCTGGTAGCAGGGCGCGGACCCCCTGCATCCTCCCCGGAGCCCAGCTCCTCACTGCCAGCTGCTCCCTTTGAAGAGTTCTCCCAAGAGACATGGGACTCCTGTCCCCTCTACTGTGCCATTTTGGGCCCGCCATCTCCAGCCCAGGTGCTGCCTCCTTTCTTTGGGGGTACACACGGAGCAGTTTCCACTGCCTGCCCCTAATGAGAGGTCCCCAACATTCTTGTCCCCCCACTCTGCCTCCTCCTTGAACAGGTGGGCTCACCTGGTCTCTGGACACTGAAGAGACTCAGCCCGGAACAGGAGGCTCCCCACAACCTTGACTGTGGAATGGCTGGGTAGGTGCATGGTTGTTATCCAGTCCTGAGCCTTAAAAACTAAAGTGGCTTTTTGTTCCTTTGACCTGGATTAGCCTTCATCAAGGCTCCTTTTTTTCCTTTTTGAGACAGATTTTGGTTAGTTGAGGCTGACCTTGAACTCACTATGTAACCCAGGCTGGCCTATACTCACCACTCACAGTGACCCCCCTGCCTCAGCCTCTCATGGCCAGGATTTCAGGCGTGAGATACCACACTCAGCATCAGTCACTCTCTTAGACTCAGTCTGTCACCTTTGGAATAGTGGCCTCAGAAATTCATCATGGGCAAAGAACCCTGTGGTTCCATCAGGTTGCACCCCAGTGTGAGGAGAGAGCTGGAGAGCTGGTCTCTGTGGAATCTCCTTTGTCCTCTCTCTCTCTCTCTCTCTCTTTCTCTCTCTCTCTCTCTCTGAGCTAAGTCCTCACACTAAGCTATGCCTCTATTCCTTTTTATTTTGAGTCGGGGTCTTGCTAAATTACTAAGTTGCCCAGGTTGGACTGGAGCTCACAATCCTCCTGCCTCAGCCTTCCTAGAGTACTGGGGTTACAGATGTGTGCACCATACCTAGTTTATCTGAGACCATCTCTTAGGAGAAAATCTAGAAATCCAGGACCAGTCCCTCCCTTTCTCCAGGAACTCCCCTGGTGAGTTCACTTGAGGCTCTCAGTGAGGGCCACAGAGAAAGGACCTCCCCAGGCAGGGCTCAGATCTTCCTAAAGATCAGGTGCAAGGGACCTTTGCCTCTTCAGGGCCCTGTAACATCAGCCTGTGTCCCAGCGTTGAGTGCTCCAAAGAGCCACCCCAGGATCTGAGTCTCTGGCGGCAGGCTCCTGCCCCTCCTCCACTTCCTGTCCCCACCTCGGCCCAGGGGACCCAAGCCCCACCTCTCACAGGGGAGATAAACGCGCCTTTCCGAGTAACGGAACCAACATGTGCGCTTCCGGAGGGGAAAGCAAGCCGACTTCCACTCCCGCCTCGGTGGCTTTTTTTCTTTTCTGTCCCCACCCTTCCCCTTCTGCTTGGGTGTGTGCTTAACACCGAGGCACTGACATCACAGGGCCCTGCTGGGTTTTTTCCTTTAGAAATCCTTTTCCAGGCAACTGTGTCAACACCGTTTTCATACTTCGGACTGGATGGGAGGGAAGGGGGGGGGGAAGACGTTGAAATCCTCCAAAATAAGGGTTTTTATGAAAACCAGACCTACAGATGCTGGGCTTGTCCAGCTCCGAAATGCTCTCCATGCTTGGGGGACTGCGGTCCCTTGGCTGGACAGGCTGCTGGAGGAGGCCCTGGGGTTGCCAAGGCCGGCATCCGAAGGCAGATGGGATGGGGGACTGCTTCCCCGAGCCCCAGGCCAGCCTGTGAGGCTGGACTCAGCTTTTGGGGTGGACAAAGGAACAGTGCTCTGGGCATCCTTATGTCCTAGTGTTCCCCAGGCTCATCCCTGCCAACCCTTAGAGCAGTGGCAGGACTCAGTGAGGGGTTACTCTGTGGGGGCGATGGTGACCAGAGAGATCTTAGGGTTCTTTTTGCCAACGGGGTGGATGGGTAGGTGGGTGGTGCTGGGAGAGTGGGTCCGCCCAAGGGCCACGGGATAATTGCAAAGTATATCACTGAGTCAGCTCTACTCTCCCCGGCCACGAGACCCCAGCTTTGCAGGAGAGGAACACAGCAAAGGTGGACAGCAGTGACATAAAGCCCGGGCTCCCTGCAGAAGGAGAAATGTGGACATCTGTCCTAAACAAGTAAGACATTGATACAGGGAGAAGTGGCTCACAGTTTCTCAATGCCACTGCAGCAGTAGCTGGGCGTGATAGCCCACACCTGGAATCTTAGCATTTGGGAGGCGAGGCAGGAAGATCACCACCAAGTTCAAGGCCATCCTGGGCTACATAGTGAGTTCAAAGCTAGGCTGGACTACATTGTGAACTCTTACTGAAAAAAGAGAGAAAGAGAAGAAAGAGTAAACTGTTTTGAGTTAGGTTATTCTTTTGTCTGTTTCCTACCTCTTAATTCTTTACCTTGAGTAATAAAAGGGGAGGGTAGGAACAGGACAGGTGACATGCTCTAAATGAAGGAGCACTTGGATTAGGCCTAGGGTTTCGTTTGTGGCTGGGGAAGAACCACTGGGCAGCTTGCTGCCCGCTTTTCCTGAATTACTATGATTTTTTTGAGACAGAGTCTCCCTACGTAGGACAGCCAGTCTTAAACTTACCTTGTAACCCGAGGTGGCCTCGAGCTCATGATGACTGGCTGCCTCAGTCTCTCTAGTGCTGGGATGACAGACGTGTGCCACCATACCCAGTTCCCCTGGATTATTATTGAGAGGGTCACATGCATCATGGTTACAGTTATACTTTGTGTGTTACAAATGAGTAAACACTTTGAAAATAGTCATTTTTCCATGAGGATAGTAGGTTGGAAGTATTAGTGATGCCTTTACTTTACTGAGCATGTACTACATTGCGTGAGCAGGGCCTGGAGCTCAGCCCATGTTTCTGGGAGCTTGGGCTCCTCCCATGCTGCCAGGCGACCCAGGGCTGTATTTGTGGTAGTTGTCCAGGACAAAGCCAGCTGCAGTTGGGGGCAGTGTGCCGAAGCCCAGGGCGAAGGTCCAGGACAGGCAGCTCCTCCCAGCCAGCTGCTCCAAGTCCCAGCTTGAAGTCAGGACCAGAGAGGGCAGAGAGGTGTCTGTGAGCAGCTGCATAATGGTCCTTCAGAGGTGGCTCTGTGGGTGCAGATGGGGAGGACAGCTCCAGCAGCAGCTTGCTCTGACCTAACCATGGCCCTACGCGCCTGTCCCTCCCAGGTAGCTGTTGCTCTCTGAGACTGCACCTCGCTCCTGGCTCTTGCCGCTTGGGATCGCTCCCGAGAAGGGCCTATCTGTGGGCCTCTGTCCCCAGCCTGAGGTGGAAGGAAATGGTGGGGCAGTGGGTCCCAACTGAACGCAATGGCAGCCGTGTGTTGCTTGCTTCCTGGTTCTCCCCGGGGGCCGTGGTGGTCACAAGCCTGGGGAATTGAGCTGCACTCCCCAGAACAGGCCTCTGTCCCTGTCTCTGTCCCCCAGCTAGGGCCGGGGGTTTTAGGCTGCTTCCTGTGTCACTGGCCATGGCTGATAAAGTCTGGATGGTAGGCAGTTTGAGGTTCCTCCACTGATGGAGACATCGGGCTCATGGTTGTCCAGGGGCCCAAGTTCCCTGGCCCTGAGGACCTCCCCGGTGACAACCAGTGGCTCTTCAGGCAGAACAGATATTTTCCGGGTGTACAGAAGTATACCACTAGCGACTTTGTGGACTGTGCCCAGTGATTTGAGAGCTGGAAGCTGGGGGCCGTGGGCCCCTCCCAGGCAGCTGTTCCCAAGGCTGGGAGAGCGTCTGTTTGAGCTGGGCTCCTTCCTGCCCCAGCCCCACACAGGCCCCTCCAATCATAGGCTTCCCCACCAGCCAGGCCCAGAACAGATGGAAACAGATCTCTCGGCACAGCCAGCTGATGTGGATTTCACAGCGGGAGGAAAGAGGGAGAGAGGAACAGACAGCTCAGCCCCTTCCCACAGCCGCTTGGAGGCCACACGGGCTGTCCAGCTGTTCACCCCCACACACTGCAGAGGGGCAGAGGAGGGTGGAAGCTAGAAATATAAAATGCTCAGCTCCGCACTCTCCTAACTTGAGCTCCAAGGAGCCTCTTGTGCAGCGGCACTGTGAAAAAGGTGGACCCCTCTTCGTTCTTCTCTCCCCGCTTCCGGTTCTCAGCCCCTCTGCCCTGGCTCCGTCTCCATCTCATTTCCACACACACAGCCGCCTGATCCCTTAGCCCGGCTGTGCATCCTCCTGTCCTAGGAAGCAGCCCTCCTGTTCTCTAACCTGGCGATTTTAGCACGGAGCGAGCTCTCCTCGAAGCCTCCACTGCCGTTTCTTAGGAGGAAGCTGTCATTTTATGTCCAGGCTTGTGATCCCTGCTGGACTGGGTCATTCCTCTCACAACATCAGCTGCTTCTCAGAGCAGGGGCTGTCTCTTCGTTGGCTCCATCTGCTTGAATCCTTTGGGAGTTCTGTGTCTTTCTTCTATGGGAGCGTGTCAAGCAATTGATAACCAACTCTGCTCTCCACAAAGACCCTGTCTGGTCAGTTCGGGCTGCTAAACAGCATACCATAGACTGACCCGCTCGTACCACGGACCTCTCCCTCTCTCAGTCTGGAGAGCAGGAAGACAAGGCCGAGGAGGGAACCACAGTAGTGTCTGCTGAGAGCTGCCACCTGGCCACTTCCTCCTCTTATGAGGATGCTAATCCTAGCCTCTCTCATGACCTCAGCTGTACCTAGTAACACCCCAAAACCTGCAAGTGACTTCCCCCTGGGGAGTGGGCTTCAGTGTACGGGAAGGCCCCAAGCATTGAGGGGACACAAAACCTTGAGTCAGGGAGCTTAGAGCCAGGGTGGAAATGTAGCTTTTGCTGACTGATAGAGCTGACTGTGGCCAGACCCTTGCACAGGGCCCACAGACCCCTGCTGAAGACCCCTCAGAGTCTGAGCTGGCGCAGCAGCCCTAGAACTTTCTCCCTGCAATGGGTTACAGCTTCTTTCCGGCCCTTACTTCCTGTCCCCACAGGTCTGAGTGGCCTTGATCCCTGGGGTCTGACAGCATCAGTAACATGCCCAACGCGTCCCTCCTGGTCTTCTGTGTTCCTGGCAGGATCTGCAGCCATAAATCATTTCTGGTGGCTGCTGCCGAATACCAGCCCTGGAAAAGGCTGCAAAGAGAGGTTGGTCTCCTTATCCTCATTTGGGGAAACTGAGGCCCAGAAGGGAAGCAACCCTGTGACGCCACGTGGGGGCTCAGTGGACACTGGAGACCTCGGGCTTTGCGTCCTTGCTCTTGGAGGATGGGGAGCCTGTGACGCATTCCCAGAGAGGATCTGTCAGGAAGGAAAGAAGGCGAACAAGCTGTCTATTCTTGTTTGTACCCTTTTCCCATGCCAGGAGCGGACCGGCCTGAACATTTAGGTTTCCTTTTCATGTTTCCTTTCACTCTGCTTGCCACAAAATGCCTTTCTTTTCCCTCTCTTCCGTTGGCAGGATCCTCACCAAGGCTGTAGAAAAAGAATCTTTTAAGAGCGTTATCTATCTATCGACGCACGTTCAGGCCCTGACGGTGACCTGGAGCTGCGCTGCCTCTCCATCACCCAGGAAATGACAGGGTCGCGAGGAGTCTGAAGCGCCTCCCAGTTCTGCCCGTGGATTCCTGACCATTGTCTGGATTTGGTAGGCTGGAGCGGGTCCATGTCTCCTGGGTTGGTCCACTGTTTGCCTTTCTTTCTTTCTTCCTCATTTTTTTTTAATTTGAAAGGAAACTCTGACATCTTAGGTACTGATTGGAAATTCATAAAAGCAAGAGGCGTTGTGGGTTGCTGGTCCGTCATCTTTGCCCCTTGGGCACTGGGGGAGGACGTGGCCACCTTCTGAAGGCCTCTTGGGCACTGGGGGAGGACGTGGCCACCTTCTGAAGGCCTCTTGGGCACTGGGGGAGGATGTGGCCACCTTCTGAAGGCCTCACTTTCTCTAACTCTTCCGCTTTTTTCTTTGGATGTTCCAGGGGAACATCTCCCTTGAGTAGTCACCAGCTGTCTGTCTGCCTTTTGTGATTCCTGTCCTGTCCTATGAGAGGAGGGAGCTGAGCTTTTGAATCTTGGTCATCACAAACGTATAATACAAAAACAGAACTGAAGGTGTTTCTGCAATCTTTGGATGAGAATCTTAGAAATTCTTGAGAAATATCGTTAAGTTTTATGTTGGGACAGCTAGAGGCAGGATGTCAGAGAAGTGACCAGCAGTCCACAGAGGCTGTCCTGAATGTTTTGTTTTAAATGAGGTCTGGCTACGTACGTGCTTTGGGCTGGCCTAGAACTCACCAGGTAGCCCCAGCTGGCCCTGAACCCGTAGGGCTCCTCGCCAGGGGTTGGTTACAGGTTTGGGCCACCACACTTGGCTACCTGGAGTATTTTGCTCTTCAACAATAATGGAAGGGGCTTACATCTGCAGAGCATGAAGATGGTTAGTTCTTGGCCTTGTAATAGGTTTTACTCTTTAGTAGTGCTATCGAGTCCAAGTGGATGTTAAAAGTTTGTGCTAACAGCATGAGACTCTTCAGTTCTTCATTTTCTTTCTTTCCTTTTGTCTTTTTGAGACAGAGTCTCGCTATGCAGTTCAGGCTGGCCTTGAGCTCACTTTGTAGGCCAGACTGGTCTCGAATTCGCAATGATCCTCCTGCCTCAGCCTCCCGAGTGCTGAGATTACAGGTGTGAGCTACCACACCCGGCTACAGTTCTTTGTTTTCCAATGTCTCCGGGTATAGACACACTTTGGAACCTTCCAGAGCCTCTTGGAAGGAGACAGAGACAGAACATTCTCCTCTTTGGTGTGCACGTGAGACTTGAAATGGTAAGCTCCAGACTCTAATGGTGTCAAGCATAAAAAGAATCTGGAATGTACAAACCTAGCTTCTTTCCAGGAAAGATTGGGTTTTCTTCCCAAACGTCCCTGGTTTTCATCAAAACTTGAAACATAGCCAGCCTGAACGCACCTGCCCTCTGGCTCTGTGTTGGAAGACAGGAGAGACGGAGGAGCTTTGAGTTTTCGTTTTGCTTTCCCTCTGACTGTGGGCAGGCAGCTTTGCTCCTTCGGGCTTCATGCCTTCGTCTGAGAGATGAGTGGCCGGACTGCTTGACTTCTCAGCTGAGACTCAAAGAGCAGACCCAAGAAATATGTGGCTGTCTGCTTTTTGAATGCTGGTAAGAATCGTTGGACTTCTGGTGGGGACAAGTGAAATGTGTGTTGCCTTTTGTTAACCAAAAGCATCAACTGCCGAGGGCTTGGGATCCAGCCTGAAGGAAATGTTACCAAATGCCTCTCTCCTAGATCACATGTGAGAGAGATGGGCAAGCAGCAGAAGATACTGAAGAAGACACTGAACAAGTATGTATAGTAACCTGGTGCAGAAACCAGATTTGAGAATGTCTTATTTCTCTAGGAAATGTTGGCTACCTGTTACCTTCCAATCCACTTGACAATTCCTATACTTGCATATGTGTGTGCACGCACACGTGAACAAGCCCATCCCTCCACTGATCCATTCATCCACCTGTCCATGCACCTACCCATCCATCAGTCATCCTTTCCTCCATTCATCCATCTAACTACCCACCCATCTATCCACCATCCAGCCAGCATCCATCACCCACCCAAGGACCCTCCCAGTCCGTGACGCGCATGATGTAGTGGGTAGAGGAGGACGAGTCCCCAACGAAAGGGCTGAAAGAATTACAAGAGGGCTTAGAGGAAGGAAGAGAATGCTCCCAGCTGGGGACATCAGAGATGGCTTCGTGCAGGAGCTGGCCTTGGCGCTGATCTGGATGAAGGTGTGAAGAGGAAGGGGCAGTGAGACAGGCACAGAAGCAAAGGCCAGGGACCTGAAGTGCTGTCCTTGCTGGGGGACATCAAGCAATCCACAAACACAGTCAAATAAGAGAGAAACAACATTAAGCTGGAAGGACAGGGTGGTTATGGAGCGGTGTTGCGGACAGGTCTGCACAGTCATCTTTGCAGCAGAGTATGCAGGAGAGGGCGGTGAAGAGCAGGACAGAGAGGCCAGGTGCAGGTGGACAGTGCCCAGTGCATTTTGTTACAGCGTGAGGCAAACGTGGAGATGCAAAGGAAACAAGTCTTCTGAGAGCTTTACCAGCCGGCCTATCACATGTGGGGCCTGAGAGTCCTCCGGTGACTGTGAAACAGAGAGTCAGGGAGGACCCAGGAAAGGGGAAGAGGGTGTGTCCATGTGAGATGACAGCTTGAGGGTCCTCTCGCAGGTGGCCTTGCATGTCACTCTTCTACAGCTGCAGAGGTGGCAGTGTGGTGGCAGGGGCATGCTTGGCCTGGGGTGTGGGCCTTCCTGAGAAGGACTGGCCTGGGAAGAGCAGAGGCCTGCAGGCATGAGCCACCGATGTGCGTCTAGTAAGAAGCCACGGCAGTGAAGTGGGAGGAAAGAAAACTAGACCTGAACCCCCAAAATAGGCAGATGATCTCACGAGTTCTCATTTCACCCCTGAGTAGACCCTTGGGAATTCTTTTTTTTTCTTGTCTTTTTGAGGCAGTTTCACTGTGCAGCGCAGCTGGCCTTGAACTCACTTTGCAGCCAAGGCTGACCTCAAACTTGCAGCGATCCTTCTGCCTCTACCTCCCAAGCTCTGGGACTCCAGGTGTGTGCCACCACACCTGGTGGCCCTTGGGCATTCTTTCCCCTACTTTGTAAGTGAGAAAAGTGAGGCTCAGAGTTTCAGTAACTTGAACTCAACACTCTGGGTCACTTGGACGAATTGCTGGGCTGTATTTTTTTCCTCCCACTTTAATGATGTTAGACCTAGAGAGACCAGGCTTCCTGGGCACCCGGGCAAAGCAGAGCAGGAAGGCAGGAGACAGGAGGGAAGGAGAGCCAGGCCTGCGGGGTGCTCTGCAGGCTTCCTCCACGGATTCCTCAGGACTGGGGCGGACAGAGAGGCCGGGGAGGCCGGGCGGGTACGGGTGGAGCAGATGCTGACCCGGAGGCCAGGCCGGAAAGGACGGGCCCTGCCTTGTGGCAGCAGAACTGGGAACTACGGAGGGTGGAGGGCGGCAAAGCAAATAAAGCTTTGTTGGTTTTGCTGAAAGAAAATAAGAGAAGCCCAGTTTACTCCCGAGGGCCTGTGCTGAGGCAGCTGCTTTGAGGCCCCCAGCGGGACTGTGAGCCTCCTCTTCCAGGCACCCCAGTGTGCACACCCCGGCCTCCGATTGCAATGGCTTTTCCTGTGAAAGTATATCTACACCCCGTGAAACGCTGCATCCTGAGGGTCTATTTTCACCAACTCACATTAAAGCTTAGCTATTTCTTCCTTGTTCTTCTTTCCCCCACCTTTTTTTTGAGACAGAGTCTCACTGCAGCCTGGCTGGCCTCACCGTATAGCCATCCTCCTGCCTCGTCTCCTGAGTGCTGGGATTACAGGTGGAATCAGGCATTTCCATCACCGCAGGAAATCCCTTCCCAGCCCATCCTTGCCTCCCCCAGCAAGTCGGTGACATTTCTGGTTGGCTTCGATGACTCTGGGATGCCCTGGAAGTGCAGTCATTGTGGGTGGCCTTCTCACATTTGCCTTGGTGTTTTCGAGATCTGGCCACACACACAGATGCCGATTTTATCCCGGAGTGGTATTCCCCTATGTGATACTGTGTGACTTATTTTTCTGCTCCCTTTCTCTTTTTTTGTATTACTTGTACCCTCTTATCTGCTCCCTTTCGATGGACACCGAGTTGTCCCCAGGTTTGAACTATCCTGAATAAAAGTGCCCAGCTGCTTTGGCAGGGGACTGTTTATTTGTGGGCAGGAGTTTTCACGTCTCTTTGGTAATTACCCATGAACAGACCCACAGAATAGATGCCGTGGCCACTGGGACGCACTGAGACCAGGTAGCAAAGAGTCAACTGTAGCCAGGCGTGGTGGGGCACACCTGTAATCCCAGCACTGGGGAGGCTGAGGCAGGAAGAGCTTTGTGAGTCTGAGGCTAGCATGGGCTCCATAGTGAATCTGAGACCAGCTTGGACTAGAGAGCAAGACCTTGTCTCAGAACTAATTGTGCTCATCTCATTCCAACTCTGCTTTCAGCAGTGGCAAATTGGCACTTTGAAACTGGTCACTGTGGGAAATCAGCAGGTTCTACAAGTCGGGGTTGCCTTTCCCCCAGACAGCCCACTGCTAACCCAGGCAGCCACATGTGGGCTTTCACAGAAACTCCCAGTGCTTGCAAGTGGCAGTGGCACTTAGCACCTTCCCCCAAACCCGGGGGGGGCAGTGTTTCACTCCAGCTGGGGTGCGGTGGTATCCCCTGGTTATGATTTGCATTTCTCTAGTGGAGGATGATGTTGAAACCTTTCACATTTGCTCCTTTGGCCATTTGTATATTTCCTGGTGTAAAGCACTTTGTTTAATCTTTGACCATTAAAAAAAACCAACTGAATTGTTTGTCTTCTTGTTGGGTGACAGGAGTTCTTTACATGTTTTGCACATAATGCCTATTTTTTCCAGGGTGAGGGTTTTGTGGCCTCTCTCCCTCTCTCTCTGTCTCTGTCTCTGTCTCTGTCTCTCTGACAAGGTGTCATTATGAGATCCAGGCTGGTCCTCCTGCCTCAGCCTCACAGGTGCTGGGATTACAGGCATGCATTACCATGCCTGGCATATTTTTTTGATTGTATTTTTTAAAATTTGGACAACACGCAATCATCAGTTTTTAATTTATGGCTCTAGGTTCTCTGTAAGGCATCAGGTCGCGTTCTCTGCCTGGGGGACTCACCCTACCATTGCCTGCCTCTGGAGAATCACCCCTTCTTCAGGGCAGCTCGATTTGAATGTGAGCCCAGAAAGCATTTGCGGGAAACACAAGACAGCAGCTCAGGGTGTATGTCGGGCTGCGTGGGTGGAGTGGACGGATTCACACCGACACTGCGGGACTGGGCTGGTTACCACAGACAGAGCCTGGTCCCTTCCACTGCACCCGTCCTGCTGTCTCTGTCTTTCTCTCTACCCGCCCTTCTACCATGGCTGACACCCCTAGAAAAACAAGCTAGCACATTCCATTCATTATAAATCACCTGGCTTGGGGAGTTCTGTTACAGCAGCATGATGCAGACTAAGACAAAAGTAAGTGTCACTCTTTCAGAACCTTCCTGGTATCAGCTGGCAGCATTTCCTCCCAGCAACCCCTGCCCTGTCCTCCATCCCTCTCTCTGCCACCATGCTATGAGATAATTGCTTCTTTGTGGGTCTTTCCCATCTGCTTGACCGGGAGCCTCGAGGGGGGCTGTGCGTCCTCCAAATCACCTGGTTCCTCATCCTCCTCTTCTGTTCCTGGTTCTCGGAGGCTCCAGATGAATGTGCTAATGACTGATGGATTCACAGGATGTACCCAGCCGACCACAAGCTCCACATTTCCTTTGGTTACACTGGAGTCATCCACAACGTATGGGATCGGAGGCCAAGCAGCATTGATTTCACCAATGCATGGTACATGTGAAACATTCTACCAAAGTCAGGGCCACTGGGAATCCAAGACCTCGCTACCAGGAAGGGGAGAGGCTGGGCATGTGTGTGTGTGTGTGTGTGTGTGTGTGTGTGCGCGTGTGTGGGGAGAGGGCAGGGCAGAGGGTGTGTGCATGCAATATACTCTGGACTGCTCTAAACTTTGAGACCTGGTAGACGCAGCACTGGCTGGCAGTTAGACAAACCCAAGGCCGAGTGCACTTACAGGTGTGTGACTTTAAACGAGTGACTTCACCTCTGCAGGCTTCAGTGACTTTAATATAAGCCAAGGACAGCGACACTATCCACCTCCCGGGCTGCTGGGAAAATGAAAGCCAAGGTGCCTGAGACACTCCCTCCATGGGGTCTGTGGTGCTCCTCAGTGGGGCGCTGGGTAGAACCCTAGTCTGTGGGAATTTAGGAAGCAAGGCTTCCCCCTCCTTCAGTGCTGTTTCTGCCCCCAGTGATAGACACCGCAGCGACACAGTCACAGCTGGAGGGGTCACATGGAGGTCACACAGAAGCCCAGCGAGCGGAATCCAGGCCTGCTCAGGCAGCCAGCCGGGCAACCCCCACCCTGCACCCACGGGGCCCAGCTGGGGAATCATTTTCCAAGGACCGTTTCTGCATCCGTCCAAGGTCTCCACAGCCCGTCTGTAAACAGATTGTGAAAGGGGGTTCTGGCCAGAGATGGATGCGGAGCCAGGGTGCCGGTGGGCAGGAGGGGGTGACAGAGAGGGCTCCTCACTCCACATGTCTGGTATTCTTGTCTCGCCATTCCCCCAAGTCCCTGCAAATCACTTTCGAATCCAGAGTTCTGCTTGGTGAACTGGGGGGTGCCCCAAATACTCAGTTATTTCAAGAATACACAGAGAGCCCTTTGGCAGTTGCAAGGATCTGCACAGGCTGTAAGGTGTGCACACTTGGTTCATTTATTTATACATTCGCCGCGTGTCCACTCACAGTCCAGGCCTCCCATCCTGGCTGGCTGTGCCCAGCCCTGCAAGGGTTAAGCACCAGTCCCTCCCCTCCCACTGCCCCCGCCTGCCTGCCTGCCTGCCTGTCGAGAGGGCGCGCGGTGCCAAAGTCGGAACCTGCTCCACGGCGGCCCCGGGCGCTGCCTTGACTCGCGGCCAGGCTTGGCGCGGCCGCCGGCTGTGGAATGTGCGAGCGCCATGTGTCACCGCCCCAGACTGTGGGAAAGCGCTGTTCTGCTCGCCTCCAGCAGCTGCCCTGCGCCCTCCCGGGCGGGAGGCGGACACGGGAGCGCCGGCTGCGGGCCACTTCCGAGCGCGCGCCCGGCGCCACCCACCTTGCCCTGCCTGCCCTCCTAGCCTTGGGTCACAGCAGCTGATGCTGTCCCCGGGGACTTTGGTGGAGGGCGCCTTCAGAGAAGGCTGTGCAGGGGGCAGGGTTCCGTGTCTGGACAGGCCCTGGAAAGCCTCGCTCTGTAGAGCTGATTTAGTCCAGCACTTGCCAGGCACCCTGGGCACAGGCTGAGGTGCAGAGAATACAGCAGTCTGGGCCAGAGGCTCTGCTATGCCCACTGCCCCCACAACACACACAGCTTCTCTGGGAGGTGGCCGAGGACCTGCTCCCCTGCCCAGGTCACCTCCACTCTAGCCTGTAGCTCGGGGGGTGATGGGAATCGTGTGCACAGAGACGCCCCAGGAAAGCGTCCTCTGAGCCCAGCCTCCCAGGAATATAATCAAGGTCATCCTGCCGGGTGGAGCTGAGCTGCCAGAAGCCAAGCTCAGCACACCCAGGCCACACCCAGTGCTCTACACCCCGTGCAGGCTGTGCTCCCCGGCTGTGCCTCTCAGAGTCCCTTGCCCTAGAGGGAAGTTGGGAGTGGGGCAGAGCCCTGGCACTCTGCGCTGTGTCTGCAGTCAGCCACACACCAGGCGAGCTCCTTGCCCCTTACCTCCAGCTGTGTTTCTAGGGGTACAGGGTCTTGGGGGGGGGGCACCCTGGCCCTCTGCCAGCAGCTTTTCACTTCCACACCTTGATCCTGCTTGTCCTTCGGTGTCATCTGAAGTCACCTTCTCTGCGGAACTCTTTGCAGACTGGCCTGCTCAGCCTGCAGAAGTCCTAAAGCTGAAGCACTCAATTCTGCACCTGCTCGTGGCATTTGTCTGCCCACCCTGTATGGCCTACCTGGGCACCACCCTCTCCCACTTTCTGACAAACAGAGGCAGTGTCACACTCCTTTCTCTTGTCTCTATGTCTCGCAAGAGACACCCCGGGCTGCTGTGTATGGCGGCTTCTCTGTTCCTTGGCTGAGTGTGCCAGCAGATGAATGCCGTGGATGCGGTTTACCACTGGTTCCAAATCTCAGTTGACAAATGAGTGACCTTGGGTGAATGACTTTATCTTAGTCTCAGTTTTCTCACCTGGAAAACAGATTAAACTCCATTGCTGTTGAGTCTAAAGTGACTTGTATGTGGCGGTCACATTGCAGGTGCATGTGTGTGCATGTGCACGCGTGTGTGTATGTGTGTGTGCCCTTAGTCATGTGTCACATAGTGACACCTGGCTAGCAGTGAGCCTCCTACGCGATAGTGTCCCCGAGATTACAGACCTACCATAGTCAGCGCCACCTTAGCTTGTGTATTGCTCTATGATGTTTGCAGAGTGAGAAAATTGATAATGTATCCTTGGTGTGTATCAGCACACAGATAAACGCACACACACACACGTGTTTGTATGATTGCCATAACACTGTGCACGGGCTAGTTGAGTGACAGATATTTACGGTCTCACTGTTCTGCAGGCTGGCAAGTCCGTGACAGAGGTGCCTGTTTGGTCCCTGGGGATGACTCCTTTCCTAGCGTGTAACTGGCTTCTTTCTTATGTCCTCGTCCTGCAGGCTCATGTCTCTTCTTAGGAGACCAGGTTCACAGATTAGGGACCCATCCTTACGATCTCGTTTAACCTTGTTCCCATGAAGGTCCTTTCGAAATACTTCACATAGTGAGGTCTTCAGTCTCTGCGCATTGCGAGGGACACAGCTGGGTGCAGAGCAGTGGGGAGGGGCTGAGACTGCAGTCTTGGAAGCTACAGTGGCTGCCACATACGAGCTGGTGCTTGTGTCTCCGTAGCAGGTGCCACTTCCTCTGCTTACCTTGGCCTGAGTGTTAGCAGGACCCAGGTCCACGACCTGAAGTTCCGGTGGCACTTCTGAGAAAGAGCAAGCAACAGTGGAAAGCGAATGGGATTTGGGTTTAGGAGATGGGAGGATTCTACGTGGATAGCTGGTGGGCGGGAGGGGACCACGCACATCGGTTTG